CTTAGTTCTGGCAAACAATGAATCCCTTGTTAATAATTTAGAAGTTTCAGAGGAACTGGGTGCCAGCGACCACAAATCAATTACATGTAGAATTGAATGGAAGTATGATAGTAGGGATAACTCAGTAACAGTCCCAGATTTTCGCTTAGCAGATTACGATGGGCTTAGAGAACACTTATCATCTGTTGACTGGGGTAACGAAGAGAGCTATCAATATGACAGTTTTCTTAACACAATATATGCTGCTCAAAGAACGTTTATCCCTTATAAGGAAATTAGATCAAATAGAAATGACCCAAAATGGATGAATAATAGGCTGAAATATCTACTAGGGCATAAGAAAGGAATTTATAGGCGTATCAAAAGAGGCGAGGGTCATCTTATGAATCAGTATATTGACATTAAGAGGGACATTAAAAAGGGGATAAGAAAAGCTAAAAGGGACTATGAAATTAAAGTTGCTAGGGATTCTAAAACTAACCAAAAAAGTTTTTTCCAGGTCTATAGAACAAAAGTCAGAGATAAGATAGGTCCCCTTAAAAATAACTATGGGCATCTTACTGACAAAGAGAATGAAATGTGCTCGATTTTAAATAATTATTTTCTCTCGGTTTTTACACAGGAAGACACTAATAATATTCCGGTAATTAATTTTTATAGTCACTAGTGAAATGGTTGTGAAGCAGATAGACAGACTGAAGCAAAATAAGTCACCGGGTCCTGATGAGGTTTTTTCAAGGGTTCTAAAGGAATGCAAAATGGAAGTCTGTGAACCATTAACTAATATTTTTAATTTATCTCTTCAAACAGGTGCAGTGTCTGATATGTGGAAGATGGCTAATGTAATTCCTATTTTTAAAACAGGGGACAAGTCGTTACCGTCAAATTACCGCCCAATAAGCCTGACCTCAATTGTAGGCAAATTACTAGAGTCAATTATAGCTGAGATTATAAGAAGCCATCTCGATAAGCATAGCTTGATTAATGATACTCAGCATGGATTCACAAGAGGCCGGTCTTGTCTAACTAATTTATTAACTTTCTTCAGTAAAGCTTTTGAGGCTGTTGACCACGATAAAGAATTTGATATTATTTACTTAGATTTTAGTAAGGCATTTGATAGAGTTCCGCACCAAAGACTGTTGAAGAAAGTAGCAGCTCATGGCATTGGGGGAAAAGTGCTCTCGTGGATCGAATCATGGCTCACAGACAGGAAGCAAAGAGTGTCCATAAATGGGGTTAAATCCGAGTGGGGATCAGTAACAAGTGGCGTTCCACAGGGATCAGTCTTGGGCCCGTTGTTGTTTATAATATATATCAATGATCTTGATGAAGGAATTACTAGTGATATGAGCAAATTCGCCGATGACACGAAGATAGGTAGGATAATTGATTCAAACGTAGATGTTAGGGAACTTCAGGAGGATTTAGACAAACTCTACTCTTGGTCAGAAAAGTGGCAGATGCAGTTCAATGTAGATAAATGCAAGGTTCTGAAGCTCGGGAGTGTCCATAACCCTAGCACTTATAAGTTAAATAATGTAGAACTTAACCATACAGATTGCGAAAAGGACTTGGGGGTTATGGTAAGCAGCAACCTTAAACCAAGACAGCAATGCCTAAGCGTACGTAATAGATTACTGGGATTTATATCAAGAAGTGTAAGCAACAGAAGTCCAGAGGTCATACTGCAGCTTTATACATCATTAGTAAGGCCTCACCTAGATTATGCAGTTCAATTCTGGTCTCCATATTACAGAATGGACATAAAATTCGTTAGAAAAACATTCAGCGTAGGATGACTAAATTAATACATAGCATTAGAAATCTTCCTTATGAAGAAAGATTGAAGACTCTTAAGTTACATTCACTTGTTAGACGAAGAATGAGGGGAGACCTGATCGAAGTGTATAAGTGGAAGATAGGTATTAATAAAAGGGGATATTAACAAGGTCTTAGATATCTCTCCAAGAGAGAACCCGCAGTAATGGATTTAAATTAGATAAGTTTAGATTTAGAAAGGACATAGGAAAGTATTGGTTTGGAAATAGGGTAGTAGATGAGTGGAACAGTCTACCTAGTTGGGTTATTGAGGCTAGGACTTTGGGTAGTTTCAAATTTAGGTTGGATAAATACATGAGTGGGATGGGTTGGATTTGAGTGGGACTTGCACATCAGAGCTTATTTCTTGGGTAGCATTGAAAATTGGGTAGGTCAAATGTTTGTTAGTGGGATGAATTGTAAAGGACCTGCCTAGTATGGGCCAACAGGCCTGCTGCAGTGTTCCTCCTTTCTTATGTTCTTATAGTTCCTTGACAATGTGAGTAGTCACGAAAGCGCTTGGAATTTCACTACTCTTTCACAGTGGTTGTTTTGCATATTTTAAGATCACCTGTTTACTGTGATCTTATTGTGTGTGTATATATATATATATATATATATATATATATATATATATATATATATATATATATATATATATATATATATATAATATATATATGCTGAGGAAGGGTTGTTGAGGTGGTTCGGACATGTAGAGAGAATGGAGCGACACAGAATGACTTCAAGAGTGTATCAGTCTGTAGTGGAAGGAAGGCGGGGTAGGGGTCGGCCTAGGAAAGGTTGGAGGGAGGGGGTAAAGGAGGCTTTGTGTGCGAGGGGCTTGGACTTCCAGCAGGTATGCGTGAGCGTGTTTGATAGGAGTGAATGGAGACAAATGGTTTTTAATACTTGACGTGCTGTTGGAGTGTGAGCAAAGTAGCATTTATGAAATGATTCAGGGAAACCGGCAGGCCGGACTTGAGTCCTGGAGATGGGAAGTACAGTGCCTGCACTCTGAAGGAGGGGTGTTAATGTTGCAGTTTAAAAACTGTAGTGTAAAGCACCCTTCTGGCTTATTATCCTTATTATCAACACACTAAAAAACAAGACAGGAAATTTAAATACCTTACCACCCTTTATATGCAAAAGTGTCACAGGTGCTGTCACCAATCATTGCAACACTCTTTAACAAATCCATCGAATCCTCTACCTTCCCTACAGTTCTCAAAATAGCGAGGGTCAACCCGATCCATAAAGGAGGAGACCAAACAGACTTGAATAACTATAGGCCAATATCCAACTTACACCCTCTCTTTAAAGTCTTCGAAAAATTAATTCATAAGCGAATCCATTCCTATCTCATCTCCCACAACATGCTCAACCCCTGTCAGTTTGGGTTCAGGCCTAATAAAAATACAAATGATGCTATTATACACATGATGGAACAAATATACACTGCACTAGAGAAAAAAGAAGTCCCACTAGGAATCTTCATTGATTTATATAAAGCCTTTGATACAGTTGACTATGATTTGCTGCACATAAAATTGTCGCACTATGGTATAAGAGGGCACTCCCTCAACTACCTAAAGTCATACCTTAGCAACAGAAGCCAATATGTGTACACAAATGGAGCAAACTCTTCCGCACAGCCAATTACAGTTGGTGTCCAACAGGGAAGTGTCCTTGGCCCTCTTCTCTTTCTCGTTTACATAAATGACCTACCAAATGCATCGCAACTACTCAAACCGACACTATTTGCAGATGACACTACTTACGTCTTCTCTCACCCGAGCCCAGTCATGCTAGCCAATACTGTGAATACCGAATTACAGAAAATATCTACCTGGATGAGGACTAACAAACTTACTCTAAACATTGACAAAACCTACTACATTCAGTTTGGCAACAGAGCTACAGATGTCCCTCTTAACATAATGATAAACGGATCACCTATCACAAAGCTAACAGAGGGAAAATTCTTAGGAATCCACCTTGATAATAGACTCAAATTTCATACACATATACATCAAATTTCCAAGAAAATTTCCAAGACCTTAGGCATACTATCGAAGATACGGTACTATGTTCCACAGTCAGCCCTCCTGGCCCTATATCACTCACTTATTTATTCCTATCTCACCTATGGAATTTGTGCATGGGGCTCAACAGCAATAAACCATCTCAGATCATTAATTACCCAACAAAAGGCTGCAGTCAGAATGATAACAAATTCCCACTACAGGCAGCACACTCCATCAATATTCAAAACTAAACCTACTCACCATACAAAACATCCCTACTTATTACTGCACCTATTACATACATAGAACACTTAACTCGGATATAAACCCTCCCCTCAAACGTCTCCTTACCAACCTCAACAGAACACATGACCATAACACAAGGCACAGATCACTCTTTGATGTTCCTCGTGTCCATCTCACACTATGCAAAAACTCAATGCACATAAAAGGCCCAAAAATCTGGAATTCATTACCTGTGAATATAAAAGAAACACTGTTCATAAATTCAAGTCTCTTCTTAAAAATCACTTACTCATCCACAACCAAATAAATACTGAATAATTGTATCTCATAAATGTTTACCCTGTGACCTAATCAAACTTTGTTATTTTTAATTACATTATCTAACAGAATACTCCATTCTACTGAATGCTCAGCAACACAGTAAATGACCATATGACCTGTCTTTGAAATACTCATTTGTGCTTAATTGTTAACCGTTTACAGCAATGTTTACCACTGAATATATCATTGCTTAGTTAATCTTAAGTTAATTTTAAGCCTGCCCATAATGCTCTGCATACAAGGGGCTTTGGCATGTTACACTTAACCACTGTATTTCCTTGTACTTCTATGTATCATGTTCAAACTAATAAATAAATAAATAATAAATAAATAAATAATATATATATATATATTATATATATATATATATATATATATATATATATATATATATATATATATATATATATATATATAATATATATGGAGTATTGGCATGAAGAGTCAGCTGATGTATGTTAAAGTATACTTCTTGGGTAGACTAATAACAGGTAGGACAAACTTATGGCTGAGAGGAGTTTGAATTCGAAAAAGTCCTGCCTTGCATGCTTGAGCCGGTAGGCCTGCTACAGTGTTCCTACATACTATGACCTGTTGCTGTGTGAGATAGCGATCAAGAAGTTTCCTGACAAAAGACTGAGCTATGTCGTAGAAGCCGTTGTTCTGGTTGAAGTTTTTAATATACTGATTAGCGACGATTCCAGAATCCTGCATTTTTGAAGTGTCTTCTATGACAATGAGTCGTGCGGCATTATAATTGTTCAGGTGGTTGTGGGAGCTTGTGAAACAGACGTTGTTCAGGTGACCCATTCTGCTGACATATTTGTGTTTACACATGCGTGTGTGGAGGTCTCTTAATGTTTCTCCCACGTATACTTGATCACAGTCATTGCAAGGTATTGTGTATACTCCTGCGGTAGTTTTGACTTGATGGTTTCCCTTATTGGTGATGCTCTTGACTGTTGTGGAGGCAGTGATGGATACTTTGAATTTGGTGTTGAAAAAAAAAGCTGGAAATGTGTTTAACAATAGAGTTGTTAGGGAGGACAATGTATCTTCTTTCTGTGGTGTCTCGTCTAGGCGAGTTGAAGATGCACTCTCTGGTATATTGGCGAGAACATTGAGGCTTAGAAAAGATTTGTGCTTGAAAAGAACATTCTTCAAGGAATTAAGTGCTATTGATACGGAAAGCACGAAGGAAGAAACCTTTGGTGACACCATTTTAGTCTTGGTGTATTACCAGTAGTGATGCAGAGGATCGTGTTGAATGGTAGTTTTGCGGGAGACTCTGAAATGTATTTGCACCGTGGGTGCTTTGTCAAACAGGGATGTCACGTCGAGGCTGAAGAGTTTCTTGTTTGTGATCTTTGTTTCAGATGCAAATGAGGAGACCACAAGACTGCTTTAAGTGTTCATACCTGATGGTGTCTAAGAGATTTGTTAAGCGTTTGACTAGAATCCCTGATAGTTTGCGGGGGGGGGGCGCTGCCTATTCCAGATGAGATAGGTCTCAATGGAATTCCAGGATTGCATGCCTTCAGCAGGCCATACATTTTGGTAGGTCTGTGGTTGCTGGGAATAGTGTGTAGAAGTTTCTTTCCTTGTTCCGAGCTGTTCAGGATATAATGAGTTTGACGTAAAAAAAATTTGGCTAAAGTGATTGGCTTGTAGGTGCCTGGATCTTTGAACAGATTAAGCACCTTCGATTTGTGGTAGGTAGTACTCAAGATGATGAAAACCGCCTTTCCCCGCAGTGGTGATTCTGATGTTAGTGTCTCCTGATCGAGGTAGGACTGGAGAGCTGTGTGTGGAGAGGGTTAGAGTAAGGATGCCTTGAATATAGTCTTTCTGGAAATCGGGGCTCTCTTGGTGTCTACAGTTTGAAACGATTGAGAGAAGGTCTTATGGTTTAAGTATGCCTAGTTATCCCAGGTACATCTCATCTGCTTGTGACTTAATAAAGTCCACTGTATGGGTGAAACAGTGTCAATAAACGATCACATTATACTGTATTTGAGGTTTTATTCATCTTGTTGGTATTTCGTCATTTTTTCCCTAGCACACCTAAGAGTGTGGAGCACCAATACAACACACCTGGTAGTAAAGTGTGGGGTACCAACAATGACATGCCCCTGCAGTCTGCCCCAGGCCCAAACTCGTGAAACTCCATGCTCATCAAGAGCTGCAAGAAATCCCTCTATTGCATGCCTTATATTTACTATGGAGAGAGCCTTGACACAAGAGGCCATCACAGTCCCTAAAAACAATAGATATTGCCCCACTCTACAAAGGTGGCAGTGCAACAATAACAAAGAATTATAGACCAATACAGCGCTGTATAGCCCTTGTGGCTTAGCACTTCTTTTTTATTATAATAATAATATAGACCAATAGCTCTAACGTCCCACACCATAATAAAAAAAATCTATGAAGCGAGATCCTCAACTACTTGGATTCCCAGTAATTGCACACCTATGGCAGCATGGGTTCAGAGCAGGTCGCTCTGCCTCTCACAGCTACTGGACCACTGTGACATAGTCTTGGATGCACTGGAGGACAAATAGAATGTGATGTAGTATACTTTGCAAAAGCCTTCGACAAGTGCAACCATTGTGTAATAGTGCACAAAATGCATACTAAGGAAGTAGCTGGAAAAGTGGGCAGATAGTCCTTTAACTTTCTAACCAATAGAACACAAAAAGGCTGCCACAGTGAAAAGTTCTGTGCCACAAGGCACAGTACTCTCTTCCATCCTTTTCCTCATCCTCATATGTGACCTAGACGGAGATATAAACCATAGAACTATGTCATCCTTTGCAGACGTTTCCCGGATTTGCACGTGAATGTCATCTACTGAGGACACTAAATCTTCAAGTGGATATAAACCAAGTCTTCCAATGGGTCACAGAAAACAATATGCTCAATAAGGACAAATTTCAGTTACTCCGTTACGGAAAACTTGAAAAATTAAAAGCTAGAACGGAGTATTAAACAAAATCTAACCACACAACATAGAGAAAAAATTAATGTTAAGGACTCAGGAGTGATGTCAGAGAATCTCACCTTCAACGACCACAACGGTGTCATTTCAACTGCGAGGAAAATGATAGGATGGATAATGAGAACCTTCAAGACAAAAGAATGCCTAACCTAATGATGATCCTCTTTAAGTCACTTGTTCTATCTAAGCTGGAATACTGCTGTACGCTAACAGCCCCTTTCAAGGAGGGTGAAACTGCAAATCTGGAGAATGTACAGAGAACCTTCACTGCACATATATGTTCAGTAAGGCACTAGTTACTGGGAATGTTTGAAGCTCCTTGGCTTGTACTCCTTGGAGCACAAGCAAATAAGGTACATCATAATTTACACCTGGAAAATCCTAGATTGGTCCCAAATATGCATACAGAAATCACTCCCTATGACAGCAAAAGACTCGGCAGACGGAGCAACATACCCTCCCCCCCCCATGAAAAGCAGGGGTGCTGTGAGAGAAAACACCAAGTATCAGGGACCCAAGACGGTTCAGAAACCTTCCAACACATATATGGGAGTTTACCAATAGACCCTTATCTGTCTTCAAGAGGGAACCGGACAGATATTTCCCTAAACTCACCAACCCATCTTCCTCCACAACCTATCACTCAAAGAGCTCACATCTCTAAACCCACCATCCCACCTCCACCCATTACCCTATCCATGATCTGACTTCTCACGTGGAAATCTTATTTCTTTCACACCATTCTCCAGTATTGTTCTACAGACTCCGACATCGCTAGCAATAAGCTTTGGTCAGTGTCAAGGGACAAACAACTGTTGTTCGTGAAGCCACGATTAGGCTTCTGATCATCAATGTTCCATCGCTGTCAGACGTGGGAATGTGCAGGACTGGACAAACACTACTAACACAGATACCACACGAGGCGTCAGGCACCTCTGCAAAGACTGTTGGCTAGCTTTGACAGTTACCATAAATCCAGAAAGTCTTATTTAACAAACACTGATAAATGACACACTTGTGCAACATTTGGGTCTCTTTATTCTGGAATAAAGATACCCAAGTGTTGCACATGTGTCTGATTTATCAACTTGTCGGTTGTGTAAACTATTTAATAACAGACAACACGGAGGATCATCTTCTGACTTCATCCAAACACTGACTGACTCACCTCCTCACTCAAACTTGCTCACACTGACTCACCTCCTCACTCAAACTTGTTCATTCAGACTGACTTCCTCACTCAAATTTCAACCTTCGTCATAGACTCAGTCTTTGAATTTTTGACTGAAGACGACTGACAACGTCTTGGATTTCGATTTTGCATCTTCCCTAACTCCAGCCCCATTAATCATTACTGACACCTTCAAAAACACTAGTGTGCACTCTTTACAGCCCCGGGTGACCCACACGGGTTTAGTGCATAGTTTTTTATTAATATCTTCCACCCACAGCTCACCTCTAACCACGAACCCTCCTACACCCACAACCAAACTCCACCTATGAACCCTCCTACACGCACAGCCCACCTCCACCCACATGTATGCCCAACTGGGTTCATATTCTGCTCCACGCTGGTGCTTCCACCTATGGGCCTATCTTTCTCAGCCCACACCACATTTTTTCTGTCTCACTCTGGCAGCCGACTTCACTCAGTCAACAAGGTCTACTCCATCACTCTCTCACAGGCATGGTCCTCAGGGCCTGGGCAACTTAAACACACTGTGTACCAAGAACCCAAATATGTAACATTTCCCCCCAAGAGTATCACTGATCCCAGCTACCAGATATACAGGCATAATCCTTGCTGATAAATGATAGCAAGCGGTGGTTACAGCGGTTGTGTTCACCCTGATTAGAGATTTTGCCACCGAAGTGGCTAGTTTATTGTGCACCCCATATCCATCCTGTGGACGGTAGCGCGAGAGCATATGGATACACAAAAGGCCTAGGAACTAGGCCCCAAAGGGTTAACAGGAATACATATGGATTTATATCTACATATCTATAGTTCACTTATCTGTTACAAGCAAATTTAGGAAATTTGCTTAGTATATCTGGTATCTTATCCCTGAGAGGGGAAGGAAGCCGAAGATGTCTCCACTTCATCGTCCCATACAAGAAGCATCCGTCTCTCTACGAGTTGTCCTGCAGTTGTGTGTCTGCAAGTTCCATCATTCAGACACAGGATCAGCAGGATCCAGGCCGAAATTTGCTGAATTTTCTTCGAGAAATCTTCGTGGCATCACCTGGGTCTTCACAGCGTCCCATACTGATCTTCAGTTATGTGTTCTGTGTCACCTATGTTTCTGCTGTTGTTTGCAGCTCAGTACAGCTATTTCAGTAAGTCAGAGGTGAGTTTGTGTGGTGCTCTGCGTCCAATGTGGTTGATTCTCCACGTGAGTATGTGGGGTGTGGGGGAAGCGGCCAGATCCTTCCCCACCATACTCACGCCACCACCACCATACACCACTACACTCTCAATCCCTCTCTGATGTTTTTCTATGGATTCAGTGTGAATTCTTCGCTAGAGCTGTGTCTCAGAGTGGCTGAGGTCACTCGAAGCCACATGGATCACGAAGCTACATGTGGATAAGGCCACATAGATCTATAAGCAACATGGAGCGAGCCACATGGATTACCAAGCCTGATGTCCAAAGCCACATGCTGTTGTCTCTCCCCGACATCACCTTGCGATGTCTGCTCGATGTCACCCACGACATCTGCCTGATGTCACCCTACGACATCACCTTGTGACGTCACCATGCTGCCTTACATTGCAACTGCCCTGATGTCACTCCACATCATTCACGACGTCACGCCTGTCATCACCATATATCGCATCGACAGTGTTATAGTTTCACAGTAAGCAATTTGTTGAAGAATTGTCTAGAAGGATTGAGAGAAGATATGTCACATGTTAATTCCTGTGTTCCTTACTAGTGTTCTTACATGTTTGTCAATTTTTGCTACTGCAAGCCATGTAACTGCATGTGCAGTGCAGGTGTGTGCAGTTTTCCATGTCCCAATGTGTGGTCTGAGCCCAGACCATTGTTAATACCCTCGTGTCACATGTCAGCGCACTGTGACCGTTTCATAATTGACACTAGTCAGTCAATGCATCAGATTACGAGTGTTGAGCCCCCGTGTACAGAAAGTTCTTATGCTCGCCACTCATAGACGCCATGCCCGAGTACGACTCCCCATTGAGACTTTTCACTCC